GTGTTGGAGAACGAGCAGATCTTTAGATGAGCTGACCAGCAGCCAAATGACACAAAACCTTAAAATGTAACAGAAAGCACCTGAATTGGGAGGGTTGAGACTGCAATCTACTCATTTTGCACACTGTAACTTTAAGAATTTGGCTTATCAATTATGTAATATATTATCTGATAACGTAACTAGGGCTGGGTATCGTCACTGATTTCTAGAATCAATTCGATTCTGATTCACAAGGCCCCGAATCGATTCGATTGGATTTGAATCTTGGAAATTTTGACAGTCAGAAATATTATAATTCAGATCAGTAAATTTACATATTTTTGTATCTATAAAAAAAGAAGCTGACACACGCAAGACTTTATCCAAGGTGTGAGCATCACAGCAGATGCCTTTGTGTCAAAGTAGCTGAAGATAAAACAAAGAAAAACATGAAGGTGATTTTCCTGGCCTGGGATTTTATAAAAATATTCTGCAGTACATCAAAAACGAAAGAAAACCATTAATCAACACATGAACATCACCTCTGACGTTACAGCGGTTTTATTAGAGACACGGCTGAGCGTTTTGCATAATTTTAAAAAGTTTACATTTGTTCAGTATTGAACGGCAGAAATTAGGTTTTCTTTACAGAAGTATGTAAACGGAAAAAAATATATAGTTTGGAGGGAGATCAAACTAACAGCTTTAGAATCGGCGCAAAAAGGGCGTAAACGCAAAGCGCCGACACATCAGAATCAGCGAGCTGTCGGCTTTCGGCCCCGACCGTGACCGTGCCATTAGGTGAGAAAGGCGACATCTCACCGACTCTGATCCGCGGGTCGCGCTGTGTGTTTACGTCTTTGTACAGAATCCGTGTTCCTGCTCTCGTTTACTGTCTTAGCTGTTTGGTGGTTATTGAAAGTTTGTGATCTTTCACCTGAGATTCTGGCATTTTGGGAAAAATAAATTTATATTAAAAAAATCGATTCAGGATTTTAATGAATCGATTTCACGTTATCCACGCCAGAATCGATTATAAAAACCCACCCCTAAACGTAACCCATCTCAGATTTAAAAGCTTCGAGTTCAAGCAACTATTGCACCACTGAATTAATGTAATACTTACCTTGACCAACATAGAGTCCATGTACTGGCCAGAGGGGATGGAGTCCAAGTATTTCTTCAGGTCCATGGACAGGAACTCGAAGATGAGGTAGAGACGAGATTCTTGCATTAGGACATCTAGGAGTCTGGATTACGCACACAAATACACATGAGTTCATACTTTATGTGTACATTTTCTCATTAGATGTGACTGAGCAGCAACTACTTGACCTCTTCCAGCACTCTGCACAATACTGAAACTGTTGATCCTGCAGTGTCAACTATTGCTACACATGCATTTATATAATGAACTTGATGCATATGTTCAAAACTTCACAACAGTTTCTATTGTTTGACCAACACCATGTCTCTCCATGCTGCACAAAGGGCACCAGACAATACAGAGAATATAGAGAAGTATTGTACATATAAAAATTCAAACCTCATGTTATAAAAACCAAAAGGATTTTAAGATCAAACAAAGAACTTGAGAGCTTACCGTACAACATTGGGATGTTTCAGCTCCTGGAGCAGAGAAACCTCTCTGACAGCTGTGCTGGGAACGCCCTCCTCCTCACTCTCCAGTCGGATCTTCTTCATAGCCACAATTTGCCCCGTTGCCTTGTGCTTACCTTTATACACAACCCCATATGTACCTGGGGGAAAGCACGAGCACTGGATGAAATGTGCTGGCAGCTTCCAAATTGCTGGACATCATTACTTGTTACCAAAGTAATTCTTGTCAAAAGAAAAGTTACACTAGAACAACTTTATAACCATGAGATTGTTGAGCAAACAGAGATTACAAGATGCACAAGAAAACTTGACTACACACATAATTACACATTTTTGAAGTATCAACATTTGTAGAGCTTCATGTGAATAATTTAGATGAACCATACGTTAAAACTAACCTTCTCCGATTTTCTCTATTTTCAGGTAGTCTTCCATTATTGCCTGAAAGGAGAAAGAGAAAAACAGGCTGTAACGTAAACAACTTCCGAGGACCTGCATTCACTTCGATCAGCTTACACACACATCTAATCATTTGTTGAGTGTCGATATTAGGTTAGATCGGCCTTTTATCTAAAAATGAACTTACAACAAGCCTGTTCGTATCGAGCACGACTTGTACGGAAATCATTCAAACTGGAAACTCATGTCACGTTAATTTACCCACTTACAGTAATGCAGACAGGCCTTTCGCCAGAACAGCAGGCTACCTCAAAATACGAACGGGGACGTTTTGAAACGTTAGTTTTGTTGCATTAAGCAGCTCGCACGTTTTCCCGTCGCTCTTTCACTCGTTTTAGTAACTAAGGCTGGTTAGATATTAAGCAGTCGTGAAATTAGCTTTTCTGATTAACGACCAAGAGAGGACCACTAACGTTAGCTTAACAAAGTGTTTAGCCGTCAAAGGCACCTTTTTTGAATGTCATGCTAACTGCTAAGACACGTTGTGTCGGGCGTTATGTTCCGCATTAGCTAAGGAGTCTTTTAAATGTAAAATTTTAATTTCACTTGTACTGACAAATATAAAAAATTACCTGTTTGTGCCTCGTTTTTTACAGACACGAACAAACTGCCGCTGGACCGCTCCCGGACTCTTTTGAAATGACTGGAGTGCAGCAGCAGGTTAAAACAGTCCAATGAGCTCACGGGATGTATTTTCAAAACAGCCAATAAGAGGAAAGGAAGGCTGTCATGTGGGTAGAGCGGGAGACAACCCGCCGATGTCCTTGGGAGCGTTCACTGACGCTGGGATATTTAAGCTCTACCCACTTCTAGGATCCGATTGACTTACATACTATTAATTTCTACAGTTACAGTTAGATTAAATACGTATCGTTGTGCAGTTTGTAGATTACACAGAATGCGTATACAAGAAAAATAGCCTACATTTACTTCTTGTGTCTTGTTATAAATTTGCTGTAGGTTACTTTATCAAGATAAATGGGCTCAACTGCCTTAATTTGGTTTACTATATTAATATTCATTTTCATGTATTAGCAAGTTGTGCATTTTTAGTCAGGAGTCTGACACATTTGCAGTTATTTTTGCTAAGTGAAAAAGTGTAATATTGGCTACATATCTCTTTCAGAAATGCATAATATCTATAACTACCCCAATTGTATGTCAGCGGCCCTGTACTATCCATTAACAATGCATTAAGGAAGGTAAGGGTCAGTACATAAGGAAGTAACAATGCCTAAAGTTGAAAGCAGATATGATGAGGCAGCTGTTGATTTGATTAATAATGCTTGCACTTTTTCCCTGGTGATCATTAATAACAACGTTTATGGCACTTTTGCACTGACTTCACTTTTCAGATCCTGATACAATGTATGCATTTTTAATTTTATATTTTACTGCTAAAAATCGCTGTGGTCCCCACTGTAATGCTGTAAGCCGCGCCAACTCTAAACATATAACACTGTGCAGACATGGATCAATATTCTGCTTAGAGAAATATATTTTTCTATTTCGTGTGAGATTAAGGAGATATGTCCAACCCATTTTTTTCATTTTAATATTTTTAATCATAATGTTGTTTATCTATTTATTTTTTTTACATTGATTAGTACCTTATACCAAATACAAATAGACCATATGTTACCTTTTTGTAATAACCAATGTGAAATCCTTTGCTAGACAGATGGAATAGTGCGCTCAGCTCTCATATGAATATCATGACTGCATGATTCCAACATCATGCCTTTTTGACTCAGTTACACTTTTTTCACTCTTTCTTTTCACACCTGTTTGTCAAATAAAAAATAATGGAAAGGATTTCCACATGATTAAGGTGCTTCAGTTGTTCTGCCCCGAGACTTTGCACTTCCACCAGACCTCCGGACCACAAACTCTCTCACCACTTTTAAATCACGTCTCAAAATCATCTATTCAGAATCGCACACACCTGATTCTGTCTCAGTCCATTTTTACCTTGCTCAGCTTTTATACTTTCATGCTTGTTTTTTTCTGATTGACCTCATGTCTAAATTGTATTGCTGCTATTGTAAGGTGACCTTGAGGGTCTTAAAGGTGCCTATAAATAAAATGTATTATTATTATTATTGCTTTAGTTTAGCATTATTCAGTTCTGTTATTCCAACAATGTACTTGAGTTGGACCAACTTCATTAATGATGAATCATTTTACTTAATGTAGTCGAGCCAACCTATGCAAATTACATCAGTCCAACAAAAGTTCTGAATGCTAATAGAAATGCATTCATTACCGTGGAAATCCTTCCAATTCATGTAAAGAGCAAAGGTCATGTCTTTGAACGCTGGTCCTTGGTGCTGTGAGGCAACAGTGCTACCACCACACCACCAAGCTGCCAGTCCAGGATTTAAAAAGTGGGAAAGCTGTGACTACAAGGCCTCACACAGCATTTTCATTACGTTTCTGTCCTTGAGAGGTTAAACCGAATAAATAGCTTTTCTGCCTCTTATAACCCCAGTGATGTTCCTGTGGTTTGATGTATATAGTGCATCATATGTTGCACTATATACTTATGCATGTACATCTCTTTTTATGACTTCATAACTTGAGAGATATCAGCCGATGGTCATAAGCAGGATGAACTTTTACTGTAATGCTGGCATCGAACTGATGATGGCTGAGAGGCTCCGCCTCTTGAGCAGCAGCCCTTAACGTATGATTAAATCTGAAACGCTGTTGGTCAGTAAGACGACCGAAGTTCGACCTTCTGTTTGGAAACGATGTCGTTTGTCCCTGTGGCACGTTGTCTATCCTTTTGTATGTCTGTTATTTATTCCTGCGGTCTTACTATGTATATTTTATTCCCGCACAGCTGCGGTGGAGCACCCACACTTATACATGCCAATGACAATAAAGGGCTATGCTGTTCCATTTCATCAAAGACAATAGAAATGAATGATAGAAGCCTCTCAGTGAAACACCATATGTTGAACTTTTATTTCATATTGTACATCAATACATCAGTGCAAAAGCAGCTAAACAAAGAGTGAAAAAACCTCAAAGTGAGAAGAAAGGATATTGTTGTAGATAAAGACAACCCACACACACACAAACTGAGTGACGCATCCACTACAGTCTCTTCCTCAGACGCAGAGGAGACTGCACATTCCACTGCCTCGGTCCAGGAGCCCTGAACAAACAACAGAGCTGCGTTTAAACAGTTCACACGTCCCGTGCATAGATCGCTGTAGTGTAATAGCAGCACAACAATGTGACAAAGCTAGCAGGCCTACAAACACCACAGAGCAAACAAACCCAACAATGTGTGACTCAGGTCTTCTGGAGTTTGCTGCCATGTTTCTGTAACTCTGTTCTTAGTAATCAGGTGTGGTCGTTTCCACAGTAATAACTAGTAACTTTGTTACTGCCTCGCTCCTGTCTTCACTGCTGTCGCTGTCCCAGTGTGATGCTGGATTGTGTATGTGTTTGTCATGGTCATTAAGTGTAGTGCTCAGGCACTAAACCAGTTAATGCAGAACCAGCACTGAGTTAAACTAACACCAAGGAAAGAGAAGTGCACTCACTGGGCTTCACTCGATCGCACATGAAGCACGCTGCCCTCTTCACCTGCCGACACACACAAAACAGTGATTGTTATAAACAAGCTGAAGATAGTTTTCATTCACTACACAAAAAGCAGAGCGAACGTTGGCACCGTCAGCGCCTGGTCAGAAACCTACTTGTTCCCTGCTCACTGAGGATTGCGCTGAGTCCTTCATCAAAGGTCAAGTTGATTTTGACACCTAGTGGACAAACAGAGATGGGTCAGTCGAGGGTTTGTGGATTACATCATCAGTGAGATTATAACCAACAGAGTATGGTACCATAATGTAGTAAAGTACGGTGCAGAGTTTGGAGAGTGGAGCCACTCTGCTTCAGGTCCTCACTGAGCTCACAGCAGATACAAAGCTAACGACTGCACATCATATATTTATTGGTGAGAGGTCTGATACATGCTTATGCTTTTCTTTGTACAGCATGTCTCATTCACCCAACCATACCAACACTTTACATGTGCATGCATGGACCCGAGTGCAGACTTTTTAAAGTGTTCTGATCATTACTGCCCGCTCTGGTCCAATCCCGCAATATTTGTGTCCACCCCTGCCCATAGCTGCAGACACATTAATGATACTCTGCACGATGATGCACATTGAATGTGACATTTCTATAGAACAGCAGCAGAATAAATAAAAGCAAAACCAGCAAAGATCTCTCAGCTTTGAATCGTTAGTCAGTAAACTGAGGTTACAAACTAACCAGGGTGCCAGCAGTGCTACCCGTCAGGCTCCGCCTCCCATTGCTGTGGACAGTTCTTATGAATCATAACTTGCATCCATTATTGTTCTTTTAAAACAGCAAGAGTATACTTAAGCTAATTTTGCCATTTAAATCTGTAATGCGTTTTCCTTTTGGAGAAGTTGTCATTAGTTTGGTCCTGCGCAACAAAATCATAAAGCCAAACGTCGCTGCAGCCGTTCCACAGATTTCCTGCTTGGTGAAGGAGAATTACTCTTCTGTCTGTGAAGAACAGCAGGTGTGCTTCCTACTGTCAACACAAAGTTCAGCTCTTTACCTTCTGTGTTTAGAGGGATTTTAAATACCCAAATATCTCACTTTCCATTTTTTGTACTCTCCAACCTTCATTTTGGGACCTGCGTCTGTTTTAGCTGCCAGAGGCAACCTGGAACTTCTCTCTTACCCTTTGGTGTGCTGATGGCTCTGTCGCTGGCAGCTCCTTTAGCCATCACTAAAAAAGTCAAATGAAAACACCGTCACAATGGATCTCACACACAAAACTTGTGGGAATGCAGAGTGAGGATCTAACACTGCGTGCAAACAAGAATCAGACAGTAAGACCTGCTCACTGAGGTTACAACAACACAGAGGATAAAGTGCTACAAACATGTTTTACATGCTGTTTATGCATCGCTGGCCTCATTATGAAAGGACATTTATGGTTATGCCTGGACTCAGTCCCGTAACATATTTGTCCATCCGCGTCGTCCCTGACAGTAACCTCTGTTACAGAACAATACTGTTTTACTGTTTCACCACCCTGAGGCTAAACTAATGTGTCGAGCAGTGAACTTCAAAGATGAAAAGACTACATGGGCTACTTTTGTGCATACATTTGACAATTACTGCACCTGAACTCTTGGATTGAAATGCTGCTGCTGCCTTGTTTCAATAGAGTCACACTTCACGGTGAGATCAGTGAAAACGATGAAAACTGCCCTTCATTTACTGTTATAATAGAAGAATGTACAGTTCTGATGTTTGCAAGCTTCAAGCACTGATGAAAGTTTCTTCACATGTTTCCTTGACATGTGTTGCTTTCCTTGAGTTCCTCTCCACTTGGCAGACATTCAGGATAAATGACATTTGTTCAAAGCAGTGAACTGAACAGTACCTGTTCCTTCCAGAGCGATTGATTTAGACTGGACATCGTCCTGCCTCCTGGGTCCACGCACACTGACAGACACACACAGGAATTTCAGTAAGTTAAGCCGTAGCTTCACACTGTACTGAATTAAACCAGCTAAAGTTTACATCTGCTCACAAATATGAACTCGTAGATGTGGCCGGGTCATTTCCAGCACTTCGTCTTTTCTGTGTCTAAGACTAAATGTGAACCAAAGGCTCGGTCTGCCGGTGATTACTGGTCATATGAAGGAGCCCAAACAGCGATCTCAGATATGAATCAGACTCTACAGTAGAGTGTAAGTGCCTCATACTGCTGGAAGCCTACCGGTCAGTGAGTGCCAGTCTAGCAGTCTGGAGGTTTGGACGAGGTGGCTGCGGTGTGGCAAAGGTACACGGCAGCAGGGCCGTGGATCTGACAGGAGAGCGCTGGGCTGAACCCTGAGGAGGAACAACGATCATTCATATAATAAATAAATAGCTCAGACCATCAGATGATAAGAAGAACGTTCGTTTAGAGAAAATATTTCAAGGAACTTGTACAAAAGTGTGAGGACTGTGTTTCATTGTAACACAATCCTCGTGTCCTGTTCTTAGTGAGAACTTTCTGGAGTCACTTGCTGCTCCAGCAAACATGAACGTTAGCCTGCTGTTATTGGAGATTGGTCAACAGATCAACATCAAATCCACACTACCTGGATTATATTCATACTCAGTATGCAGAGATTAGCAGGCATACATTCAGTCTACAGAGGATGATCCACAGTGGCGTACAACCACGGGCTCCCCCTGTCTGCAGCTCAGCACCGACTCCTTTTCCCCAGAAGAACGTCCAGCATGTAGCAGCAGATTACTTAAACTCTATATTCATCTTCACAGACTGTCTGTTTCTGCTTATTTAGAAGAGGAAATGTCCCCTTAATTTATTAAAAACAAGCGCGCTCAGACGTCTGTAAACCCCACACAGGCAGCGTGATCTGAGCCTGTCAGACGATTGGAGCACAGCTGCAGGTTTTGGAAGCGAGCGAGAGGACGTTACCTGCAGTTTAGCACATTTGTATGCACAGAAAGTCTTTTGACAGTGAAATCAGTGGGTTCATAGTGGTTTGCACTGTGCTCTTACCTGGGCCTTTTTGCCATCTCCTGCCAGGCTGTCGTTGTCCAGCTGTTCCACTGTCGCTCTCTCCTTTTCTGCTATTTTCAGAGCAAACTCCATTTCAGCTGCCAGCTGCTCGTCTCCAGAAAGAATCTCCTTCACCTCATTACGGTAGTCCTGCATAGTCACCTGATGTCAGACACACAGAGGTTAATGCGGTTCCCTTCGCTACAATATTTTCTCTCTTAAGAGAGTAGAAACAGAAGCACAAACTGTTCTGCTGATGCTTTGCAGCTAACAGTGCTGTAAAGCTGTGGATTTTCCATAGTTCATGCAGATCATCAGTGAATATGATCATGCATGCTGGACTTACCTGCAGGTAGCCCACGAGATCTCTGAGAACAGGAGAGCGCTTCTGCTCCAGCAGGTTCTTCAGGCTAATGATGAGAGGAACAGTGTTCTCTATGAAGGCCTTCTTCCTAACCTGCGGATCAAAAGTGCAGATTACCTTCAATCAATCTCAAATATTTCATCTGCTGAAATATAAAAACGTTAAAAGTTACATTTCGAGCGTCTTCATTATACTTGGTGCAGACAGTTTAGCCTGATGCATCTCTGAGGATGAAGACCTCTATACTTCACCGCTCAGATGGATATAAACAGCATTTTGCTCATTTGGTTCATAATCAGAGTCATCAGATTCAGAATCAACTTCGCGACAGCCTTCATCTTCAAATACAAATATTTTAAATAGTTCAGAGGTCAGTTTGCCCCGCAACGCAACAGGAAGGTTAGAGTTGTTCTTTGTTGTAGCCAAGAGCACCATTTCTGTAGACTACTGACAGAAATCAGAAGAAAGCTGTTCAGGCTGTGCTGGCAAAACAAACAAGCTTCATGTGTTTGAATCTAAACTTAAGGTTTAACTACTCGATGTTTGGCTTTGTGCTGTTGAAACAGATGATTCCTCCTCAGCAGAGTACGTGTCCTCACAGGGACTTCTGACTGAGCCAAATAAACTAAACAGTCAGCATCATTCTAGATGTAAATGACCTCCAACCTCTGGTAGACGCACAAAACACCACCAGTTTTTCTAAACGCTGCTTAGGGGAGCTACTGCTTGTGGTTACAGCATCCACACCACAGGTGGGGATGTCCTTACAGTCCAGGCCTAGCCGACCATTTGAAGTGGCAAACAACAGTGTTTGTGTGAATGTGGCATGTTGAGTACAGAGTAGAAAAGCGCTCTATAACAATCAGTCCATTTACCAAAACCACTTTATAGTCACTGCATTGGTTATTGCATGCAGGACATATGCCATCACCACAAGCTCACGAGCATTAACACTGGTGCTTTGAGCCACGGCAGACTCGCTGCAGTCTTCTCTAGAAGAAACGCTGCTGCCATGCAGGAAGTAGCTGCTGTCGGCTCGCTGGCATCCTGTAACCTGGGAATCTTTGAGCTCCGATACTTTCAGATACAGAGCTCCTGTGTGGATGAATTCAAACTGGCTCTGCTGAGAACACCAGGTTACAAAATTGAGTAACACACTGGTAATGGGCGGTGCTAGGCATCGCTCGAAGTGTGTGTCATTTTATGGAAAGCCTAGTTTAGTGTCCTACAGTTGTATAGGTCACATAACATGTGTTATCTAACAGCTGTTTGTGTCGTTGTTACTATAAATGATCACGTGGTCTCCTGTGACTAAACAGCTGGTGACAGGAAGACTTGTTGAGCAGAACCAGGATGAAGGAGGCAAACCAACTGCCTCAGTAAGCTGAGATGAGTAGGAAGAGGAACAAAGGAACCAAATGCATTTTAAATGTAGAGAACTCGTCACCTGTGACACCACTTTCTTCTGTGCAGCCTGCAGAACAGCTTTGGCCATGGTGGCCATGTTCTCCTCCTCTGCTTCCTCCCCTGCAGCAGCGCCTGCTGAACTACATATGGTCTGCAGCTTAAACTCTTTAAGGCTCAAGATGTTGAAAGTCTCTGACAAAATGTTAGCGCCATCTGCATCCAGGGGCAGCTCTTCATCAGCAAAGCACGCTGACGTAGGAGGAGGTAAGAATATAAAAAGACAAAGGTTCTGGTTAATAGTGCTTTAACAACAGGCCCAACTCTGAAAAGAAAAACCTAAAACTTTACTTTTAAGTTTACCTAAAATGGTCTGGTTGATCTTGTTGGTGATGTTGAAGCGCTGAGCGTCTGTAAAGTGCTCCAACAGGAAGCAGTAGATTCGAAAGCGTTTCTCACGGTACTGTTCTCCTTTTAGGGAGAAGTGAACGCGTTCTCTGCGTGGATGTTCAAAGAAAAGGAATAAACTCAACAAACATGTCGTGACGTGAGGAAACAGCAAGGAGAAATCAAGCTGAGCGGGGTCATACCTCTCGCTTTGGGAGAATTTGTTGTAGGACTTGTGTTTTGTGTAGGAGTTGAAATGGAAGATGCACTCAATGAAGTGCTGGCTGAACATTTCTGGGTTCTTCTTCAGCAGCAGGTGGAGCAGGCAGTATTCAGTGAGACTAAAAGGAGGTAAAACATACCAGCCTCGGTCTTGTGAAAGCAGCTTTACGGACACCAACATTCAAATACGGACTATAGTGAGGAAAACAAACGCTCCTCGTGCTTCAGACACACAAGCCACAGCCTGAAACCTGCTCCTACGCACGAATCAACCGGACTTCCTATTAACGTGTTTGCTGAGTGCGTAATCTGCCGTGAATGCCAGTCGGGGATTCAAAAATGAATGGATTTGCGGTTGCATACCCCACTTTCACGTCCTGTCCGTGTACGCACAGTATGAATTACCTGACGATGGCAGGGACCGGGTCAACGAGAGCCACCATGAAGTCAAAGAAGAGGGAGCCCTTCCATTTCACAAATTCTTCCTAAAACGTAGTCATGAGAAAACCAAAAAGAGGTGGCGCTGAAGTCCATCCATGTTTAACATGTCAAAGTAACGTCACATCTGTAATTTGCTTCATTTTCCATTACATAATCCTGAAACGGGCATCATCTGACCAATTGCTATGAACGTCTCAAAAGAGCACTGCTTACAGAAGTATGGTGACATTAAAGACAGCAACTCACCTGCAGCAGGTTGGTCAGCATGATGAGAGTCTGCTCTCTGATGACAGCGTCTTTGTCTCGCAGACAAGCAGAGATGTTGGGAATGTAGTGATCCACCATGTTGGTATACCGCACGCACAGATCACACATTATCACAACCACGTTGCTGCGTACTGAAACCTCTGTGCCAACCTCCAACTCCCTGGCAAACACGGGCAGGTACTTTTGGGCCAGTTCTTCACTCTGCAGGGCCAATTTACCTGAAGCACAGTCACAAACAAACACTTAGGCTCATGGCTCGGAGTGAAGAGTCAGAGCTAAACTTGGAGGACGCACACGCCTCACCTAAAGTGATGACTCCATGGGCTCTTACTCTGGTAGGCAGCCAGTTTGCTTTGAACTGGGAAAGAGGCAGTGAAGCTGGCAGCTCAGTCTGGCACTCTGTCAAAGATGGAATAAGACAAACAGGTTAGCAGAGCCTTCTAACCTGGCCGTGCCCTGGACAGTACAAGACTTCGTGGTACTTTGAAGAAGATGTGACAGCTCCTGACCTTGCAGAGTCTGAAACCTCACTTGATTTCCAACTGCGGCACATTCAAAATGTCACCTGACACCAGCAGCTGTGCTGTTGTCTCTGGAGACGTTCACTCACACACAGTATGCATTTTAGCATCAGTCTTTCCTACCTGCCAGTTTCTCAGAATGTGTTGTGAGCACAGATTCCACTAGCAGCACTGTCCTCTTGTTAACTTTGGCAGGACACTGAAGTGATGCCACACCCAGAGTGTGGAGATGTTTCACCTGAAAGAGAAAACGTTCCCCGTCCATCAGAGCCACAAGCGCTGCACGGCTGATCACATGTTGGTTTTCAGACGTGCACCGTGGCGTTTTCATCATCGGATTTTTGTTCTTCCTGAATGAAGTTTTGATAAAACTGTCATCACACCACAAACATTAAAGAACAGGCTGGATCTGTTTCATGCCTCGCAGTTCTTCATCTCACGTTTTCTTAAGCGTGAGGATTACTGAACAATTCCTGCCTTGAAAAGTTCACCCCAAAACCCAAAGGCTTCATTCCTTGCAGAGTTTTAATAGCTATAGAACTATGCAGTGATCTAATAGGGTGCAATGTGTGTTAGGCGGCAGCCAAGGGCGCAGGATCCCTGGCTAGGCTGCCAATTCGGTCATGGAACATCGGCTCCTTCCTCATGGGAGAGGTTGAGCGATACCAGCTATATCTACCTGGTCTCATCTTAACCCACGGCTCGGGCTCTGGAGCCAGCCTCAGAGAGGGGCTGGACTCTGTCCCAGTTTGGAGTTGGCGAGTGTGAGAGGTGGTGGGCTGCAGTGGGTATCCATGAGTGAGAACCCAGTCTGCCAGACGGGGTGGTGGTTCTCATCTTTGAGAAAGAGGACCAGAGGATGTGCTCCAACTACAGGGGAATCCCGCTCCTCAGCTTCCCTGGACAGGTATGCACCCTGCTGCTGTGGATCAGCTCCTGTACAGAGGGAGAGCTTGGTCTGCATTACGGGCAATAAGTTCGACTCTTCCAGTGGGTGGTGGACTCCAGAGCTGCCCTTTGTCACCGTTCCTTTCATAACTTTTACTTGACAGAGTATCTGTGTGCAGCCAAGTGGTGGAAGGTTTCTCCCTCATGTCTGCTTTTTGTGAATGATGTGGTCCACCCCACCAGGTGGGGACCTCCAGCTCGCACTTGAGCCGTTCACGGCTGAGTATCAAGTGGTGGATGCTAAAATGAGCACCTCCGAGGATGGAGTGCCCACTCTGGGTCAGGGACAAGTTGCTACCCCATGTAGAGGAGTTCATGTATCTCGGATCTTGTTCCACTGAGGGATGAGGGGCTCAGCAGCTGCAGTGATGCAGGCGTTCTGTCTGTCATGGGAAAGAGACAGCTGAGCATAAAAGCAGAGCTGTTAGTTTACCGGTCGATCTACATCCCTACCCTCACCTATGGCCACGAGCTGTGGGTAGTGACTGAAAGAACAGGATTGTGGGTACAAGTGTCAGAAATGAGCTTTGTCTGAAGGGTGACTGCTCCCTTAGAGATAGGGTGAGAAGTTCAGCCATCCAAGAGAGGCTCAGAGTGTACAACGCCTTCGCATTGAAAGCAGCCAGGTCAAGTGGTTAAGGTATCTGATTAGGATCCTCCTGGGCGACTTCTGGGTGAGCTGTTCTGGGCAGGAGGCGGCCCCGGGGTAAACCCAGGGGCCAGCCCAGAGATCATCTTTTGCAGCTGACCTAGCTATTCCCCGAGGCGAGCTAGAAGAGGCTGGCTGAGGAGAGCGAGGCTTGGGTTTCTATCACTAGGCTGCTGCTTTGTAAATAAGTGTTAAGAGATCAATTGTTCTTGTCTAGCTGTCATTCCAGAGAGAACAGCACAAGATACTGAGGGTTGCAGAGTATGTGTCAACACCACTGAACATAAGTTCAAAGTGAAAGTTTACCTTTCTGCCACAATCATAAGGACATTTCTGAAGTAACGAGGACAAGTCTGCTAAGAGTTTATTCTCACCATCAGCTCCTCGTCGAGGTTCTGAGCTCCATTGTCAGTTAGGATTATGCTGGCCAAATATGACTCGCAGGCAGACACCAACTCCCCACAGCGCTGGTTCAGGAAAGCCTGACAAAAACACAAGACACACTCACAGTGGGCGTCAGTCATATCGGATTCAAACTTTGAGCAGGAGTTTGGCACTGCCTGCTTCCTGCTGCAACTTACAAGGTTAACTGTTCTTGTGTTTGATCCTCATCCAAACAGGATGGAGACCAACAACTGTTTCTGTTACTGAAAACAAGATTTCAATGCTGTCATAAAGTACGTCAGCCTCTGAAGTATAGATGTCTCTAACCTGAGTCTGCTTGATGTCTTCACTGCAGCCAAACTGATAAAGAGTCTGAACAGCAGAGCTGATCACCTCCAAAGGCAAAGTGAAAGTCTTCAACCAAGACATCAGATCAGCTGCAGAGAGACGGTGAGAGAGACTGAGTCACATCATTTCTCTCAGTAATCCCCCGCCATCTGTCCCCTTACTCAACCTACCGACGACCCTTTCCTTTGTGTCTTCATTTAAATGCACGGCAATGTCTCCCATCACACACAGGATGTGACAGCATGTTGTTGCGTTTACATCCTTTGATCTAAGAGGAGACAATCAAATCATTAATACATTTATCTGCAAATAGCAAAGCAGTGATCGCTAAAAACATTAACATTAAGAGACTGACTTGTTGTTAGTGAGAAGTGATTTATGACCATTTACACTTGGTGTCACCCTCGAACATTTTACAGGGTGTGTTTGGGGATTTGTTAACCCTCTGCAGAGTCTAGCCTCTGTTTCAACTTGTGTCAGAAGTGCAAAAGTATTATTATTTTTATTGTGCTGATAGGCCAAACCTCAGATAAATAATTTACACCATGTCTTATGATACATACTGTCATCGGATTTGGTGCAGGAAGAAACAGTTAAAAAAAGATCTCCTAAGAAGTAGTTTACTTCAAGTACAAGAAAAAACCAAGACAAAAACATGTCAGAGAAAAATCCACCATGTCAGAAATGATATGGCAGCACATGGTGTCTGGTTGCTGACAGGGAGGCAAAGATTGAGCGAGTGATGGTGGTGAAAGAGTTTTGTGTTACACAAGAAGATGTAAACGCAGCACAGATTCCTGTGTTTCCCGCGTCTGCTGACAGTGGCCACAGCCACTCTCCAAAACATCAACTCTTTGCTGTCCAAACCTTAAACCAACCACAATAACATCACATCTCCCAGAGAGGGGAAAGGTGAGTGTTCCTTCTGCGTCACCCCCTCCTTACAACGGGATACATTTGTTTGTATGCGCACAAAGCCTATCATGCATCAGTCTACCCCCGTGTACAGTGTTGCTCTTCACCTTCTTTGTTTTGTTTCCAAAAAAGCCCACAATACACAGCAGGGCTGCAGGTTTTTTTATTAAATGGTGGAACTGAGTTTGCATCCAGAAGGTGGAGCGAGAACAAAACAAAAACAAAGAAAGGTTTGCAGATTTCACCATTTTCCACCAAATTACAGGCCAGATTATAAAGGGCTCATTTTAATTCACATAAACGTGGCAGACTGATTTGGACTTGCCCACCTGACCATCTTGTCCCAGGCGTCCAGAATCTTGCCATGAGGCAGTCTGGAGGATGAAGAAACAACCTTGGAGAGCAGCAGCCAGGCTCCGGCAGCATGATCAGCCTCAGTATGTGAGATCAGGTTGGAGACAAATAACGGGGTGAACTTCTTCTGTTTGGACCAGATGGTGAAGGCCTTGCTAAAGTAACGACTGGAGACCGGGTACAAACACATTCAGTATTTAACATTAAACATGTTGTTTCGTACGAGACAAACGCTGGGCTGGCTTCACCTGAGCTTCTGGCACTGGTGACACAGTAGGCCCAGCAGCTCCCACATCAGCCTCTGACTGGCATCCAGGTGGCAGCCAGCAGAGTACGGTTTGACCTGACTGAGCAGCACCTGGTCCAGCGCCTCCAGGGCCTTGTCTTGCACCGAGGTCTCAGAGTCCGCCACAGCTGGCACCACCCCCTGCAGCCACGCCTTTTGCACCACACTGCACTCTGGTTTAACCTGGCAGAGAGACGTTAGGGTTAGATCTCACCCACGGTCACTTCAGTGACCGTCCCATCAGCATGTGGCTCCACTCACACTGAGCAGGTCCCCCACACACTGCAGGGCCTTCTTTTTCACAGACACAGATGGGTCTCTGCAGCGCTCTGACAAAGTCTGAAGAGTCTCCCAACTCATGGGGATCACGTCATGTTTCAGGAGACCCAGCAGGGCCTGTGCAGGAAGAGCACACAAGTCAGCCTGGGAACATGCAGATATTCAACCCGCCCCCCCACAAGAAATGACTTCAATCTAAATCGTGGCTGCTGCTGGTTAAGTTCAGCTCCAGGTACCTGCAATGCTGCTTTCCTCACATTAGTCTTTGAATCCTTCACACGCCGCAGGAGGAGGGCCAAATTCTCTTTTGCTGCATCAAATACAGAAACTATGTGATTCACTGACCTCCAGGGTCCAGACCATGAAAAACACATGAATGAAAACAAACACGTGACAAAAGTGATTTAAATGTGTGTTAGCCTTGTGACAACCTGGCAACCTTGTCCAGGGTATACCCCGCCGCTCGCACCGTCACGTACACGATAAGATATTAAAGCTATTCAATAATAGAAAAAGGATAGACTGATGGAAGCTCTCACCATAACAAGCAGCGCTGTCAGTGCTGCTCAGCTCCACAGTCCTGAATGGAAGAGTGCGGTAGGTTTTCAGAGTGTGCTGGGTACTGAGAGTCCCTGAAACAGTCATATCAACAACACCATTAAGTACAGTCATAGTCAACACAGTAAGAGTTATGTCAGTGAAACAAAAAATAGTGTCGTCTTTACCAGGGCTCAGGCGAACACCACCTGAGATGCAGTAACATCCTTTATTTTTGCACTTTCCTGTTGTGCTAGCTCCAGGCTGCGTGCAGGTCGGAGATATTTATGCGGAAACCTTTGTTTTCTTTACAGAACGAGAGAAATAAGCCCTGCAGTCACAGCTCTCTTCAGGTCCAGTCGGCTTTAGGGCTGGACTTTGACTGGACCACTGCAACAGCCTGATGCTTTAATGAGAAAACAGGTCCTTCTGGCAGGAACCAACTTCTCTGCATTAATGTGATAAATTCTCAAAATCGCCCCTTGCACCCGGGTTAAGAGCTTACGTGTTGTTTCTGGCAGCTCCTTACACTTTGAAACACACTAATAATATCGTATATATAAGTAGTCAGCTATGCCCATCTCTCACAGCTCACAGTGTGAAGAAACCCTGAATTGGATAAGTGGAAAGAGATGGATGAACTATGACCTCTAAGATGTAGCTCACGTGGTTTCTGCTCATGTTCTGACCTCAGGGTGAACGGAAACGTAGGTTTGCACGCACTGCTTCTGCATGTTGTTTCAGTGTTTACTGATCTCAGGCTGAATTCAAACTGAAGTTTAGAACTGATAAAAGCTTATACTGTCTCCTAGCCATGGCTGTATACACCGAGTCATTATGACACTCTTAGAAATTAGCTGGAAAACGGCCTCAATGTACAGGCTGCCTGATCCATATCAAAATGACACTTTAAAACTGTTGTACTGCCGGCATTACATTCCTCAGGTGTGTGTACGTAGGCCACCTGCTACTGCTATTATTAGAGTCTTTAGATAAGCTATCAGCTATGGGAATTGTCATAATGGATCTCTGTCAAAGTGGGGTCAGAGCGTGACACTGAAGGTCACTTTCTTCATGTTTTGTGGTCCTGTGACAAAGTTTCCGCCTTTTCCCAGGATATATAATACCTGTGAGATTCACAGAGAGCCAGACTGTGGCTTTTGTTTTTTAACCTGACTACAGGAAATATAACAAAAACAAACTTTACCTTCTGTGATTTCACCTTCCAGCACCGTCTGGGTTCCAGCTTAACCGAGCAGAGAGGAAACACAACAACTTTAATGATTTCGTTTGAAGGCCTGTGTCTTTACTGTACTCCTGTGTGTGAGGGTGTCTCACTGGCAGAGAAGAGGTTGTGGATGGCTCTGGTGGCATTGAGAGAAGGCAGCTCCAGGCACTGAGCCAGGCAGTTCAGAGCATGGCCCTGGACAGTGGGAGATTCATCCATCCGTCGAGCAAAGAGCAGGTTCTGGATAAGGGAGCTGTGCATCAGGAAACAAACAAGGTCCGGATCTCGACACTCCTCCGGTCTTCTCTCTGGCTGCTCCAGCAAAACCATCACCACATCCACAGAGAACAGCCGGTGCACCATCTGTAGAGGCCATCGCAGTCAGTACCACTGACAGAAGGTGATGAAGCTCACTGACATTTAGCTAAGTTCAAACATGCACCGAGTATCACACAGGAGGGTGGACACACTCTTTTTAAAGTGGCTTAAAAAACAGGCTCTCTGAGTTTTATCCTGATCTTTGAACGTGTGCTTCAACTTCAGCAAAGTCGCAGAAATTTATGGAGACACTAAACATTTGTCTGTGACACTGAAATCATTTGAGCAGCTGTTTGACTTAAGCTGAAGATCATTGATGAGACAGAAACCTGCAGCGGCTACGCCAGTGTCAGGAAGTGAAAGCATTTCTCAGACAGTTAAAGTAAAACCTTACCTTTGAGCTTCTGGAGAAGTTACACAGCCACTTAATGAAGCAAGCATAGTCTTCACTTGCCATCTGAGACGTCAGCATACCCACAGCCTGAGCTCCATGGCTTCGATACTCATTCTTTTCAACCATCTGTGTATCAGCACAACACAAACATGAATGATAACAATGCAACTTTGTTGTTGTCACATTGTACATTTTAAGCTGCAGAAAGTTTCTGAACGTTTGCAGAAAGTGAATTTATGCCGAGTGTTTGCTGGAGAATTCACCTGGAAGCAGATGTGCTGGAGGAGGATTTGCAGGAAAGGCAGTGCCAGCTGCTTCAGCTCGTCCACAAGATGACTGCAAATATAAATATAGAAATCTTTCACACATCTGCTCTCCAAGGTTCAGAAACATCCCTGAACAGTCACGATCCCAGACATCTTCAAGTGACACATTAGCGCCGGTCCTTAAAGCTGCAGAAAGTAGAGGAGAGACTAGGATGCTCTGTGTGTGTGCACATACTGAAACTGATGCCTCTAACAATGTGAACAATCAGTATTTCTACCAATGGTCAGATATGAACAGGTCTAAATGTTTTTGGGGCGACCGTGGTTCAGGGAGTTAGGAAGCTCATCTGTAACCGGAAGGTCACCGGTTTGATCCCCTGCTCGCTCTGTCCTGGTCGTTGTGTCCTTGGGCAGCTGTGGCTACAACTGTGGCTGCCTGCACCAGTGTGTGAATGTGAGAGTGAAGGAAAAGTGGAAGTGAAGCGCTTTGGGTGCCTTGAAAAGCGCTATATAAATGCAATCCATTATTATTATTAGGATAGATTAGATAGAACTTTATTAATCCCTCGGGTGGGTTCCTCTGGGAAATTCGATTTCCAAAAAAGCACAGCACCGACAGAAGTTACAGAATATTATTTATTTATATATATATATATATATAGCACAAAAGGTATTGCACAGTGAGGTGAAGAGGCACTACAGCTTAGTTGTTCCCCCCTCCTTTGTCCTCCTGTTTCCCCTCCCTCTCCCCTCCAGGGAGGAGTTAAACAGTCTGATGGCGTGTGTGGATAATGACACCTTTAAAAATCATTAAATTAAGTAGTGACTGAAGTGCAGACTTTCACCTTTAATTTAACAAAAGTAACTTAATTGTTTAAGTTATACAGTCGCCACTTAAGGAGGCTCAAAAGTAATGAGACAACTGACTGACAAGCAGCTTCAAACCAGCCAGTCTGCTTCCTTGTTATTCCAGCTGCAGTCTTAAGAGGCTTCCACAGCTGTGGTTTGTTCACTCTGGTGTGAATCAGTTCAGTCCGCCCATTAGCCTCATGTGTCTGAGGCGTGAGAAACAAAATAAATACAAGGTGCTGTGGACTCGTTTCTGATAAATCGTGTTATGTCACAGCTAGTTGCTAGCCCCTACAGACTTTGCATGTCTATAACACCTTCACGCACTGAGAACCAAAGCATACGTGGCTACGGGACAGTTTTTAGCACAAACTTCTAACTCATACCCGCTCGTTCAGATCAGGGTTGCATCACATTCACACCAAAAACAAACCACCCTCGAGTTTGTTTGAAACTGGGGGGAAATGAACCACAGCTGTGAAACACCTTAACACATCTCTCCAGAACACCGTCCCCCTGCACCGTGTCTGCTCCCAAAGCATCAGAAAACAACCACCCAGCAAAAAAGGACAACATAGGATCATCAACAGCACCAAAACCCTCAAGAGTGAAACGTAGGTTATTAAACATTGCGTGTGTCTATTTCCTGTTTGAAGTCCCTGTTAATACACGAATTGATCAACAAATGTACTCTGCCTCACAGAAACCTGCTTACAGCAGGATGATCATGTTAGTTTAACGAATCAACACCTGACAATCAATTATATACACAGACAGCTTGAATTCATTTGAAAGCCTGATGCTTCGCCTCGTCCACCCCAGCTGCGAAACCAGTCTTGTTATCATCTATCGTCCACCTGGGCCTTACACAGAGTTTCGCTCTGATCTCTCAGACTTTTTATCTGATTTAGTTCTGAGCTCAGATAAAATTATTATTGTGGGTGATTTTAACATCCATGTAGATGCTAAAAATGGATTTAGGAAGTCCTAAAACTCGCTGAAAAGCCTTCAGCTGATCCAAAATGCTGCAGCAAGAGTCCTGACAGGGACTAGAAAGAGAGAGCAGATTTCTCCTGTTTTGGCTTCCTGTTAAATCCAGAATTCAAAATCCTGCTCCTCACATACAAGGTCTTAAATAATCAGGCCCCATCTTATCTTAATGACCCTGTAGTACCATATCACCCTATTAGAGCACTTCGCTCTCGCTCTGCAGGCCTACTTGTTGTTCCTAGAGTATTTAAAAGTAGAATGGGAGGCAGAGCCTTCAGTTTTCAGGCCCCTCTTCTGTGTTTGTATGAATGGGTGAATGTGGCATGTTGTATAGAGCGCTTTGAGTACTCGGGGAGAGTAGAAAAGCGCTGTATAAGAATCAGTCCATTTAAGCTCTTTACCTTACAACAAAAATAAACTAGAATTGAACTAAATTCTCTCTGGACACTTTCCAAAGACTGTGGTTCAGTTAACGGGCAACTCTAAACCAGCCACAGACGTGAATCTGTATCTCTGAGATAGACTGGTGACCTGACCCCGTCTCTCAGGGTGGGGGACTGAAGCCTAACCTGTCTGCCATAAGATGAGAGAGGCTCCCATAGATGGAAAAGGGGCTCCTTTAAAGACAAGCCTTCATTAACAAAACTATAGTCATCATCAAAATCAATTCAAAAACTGAAACAGATCACAGGTTTAAACCTTTTCTTTCCAACATCCACCACGATGAGATGTAGACAAGTAAAAAGTATCAGATCAATATTAAAACAAAACTATTTACCAGACAAACTGGATGGCCTGGTCACGAGTAGCGAGGACGGTCTGGCTCGGTACGAGGAGGGACGGCTTCCCAGTGTTGCCCTTTTTCATCATCAAAATCACGTAGAGGAGCTGGTGGAACACCCTCCTCAAGGACTGGATGGCACAACAGATAAACTCCATTAAAGAAGACATGATACGTTTGAAGACTCTGGTGGGAACGTAGCATCCTAATGGGCACGTTATTTTGCAGCAGTCTGTGAGAGCATTTTAACATTTTCTCAGTTGAATTTTTCTCCGAATCGTGTCACAGCTTGTTTGTTCTGTTGGCTTCATCGGGTGGTGTTCATTCCATTACATACTGTTTGCCCCTTTGGATCCCACTGGAACAGGAGGAAGACCGCATTATCCACCAACTGCACTGAAGACATGATCAACTTCCTCTCCACAGGTTTTAAGAAATCACATTCAAATTTAGTAATAGCTCGAGCTGATTTAATTTTGGGTCAAGGTCACACGAAAAGTGAAAACAAATAAAAACTTCATATTACCCGACATTTTAAACTTCATGTCGATATCCCAGGACTTGGGGTTGGATTGCATTTGACTATGACCTTCAATGTTAGCATCCAGGTCACAAAAATATTCTGCAAGCCATATCAAGTACAATTTATCATATGAAAGGGCATGCAGAGAGCTGTATGAAGCAACTCCTCTTTCTATGCCTGTATGTCCTATAGTTCAGCAAAAATCATCAGTATTTTTTGAAAATCTCACGTTTTCACAGCTTCTATATGTCAGAGACATTTAGGCTCTTTGAGAGACTAAAGAGTTGGTCCGGTGGAGTGAAACACTGCTTTCCACTCCTGAGTCTCCTGACGCTTTGCCAGAATTGCTTCAAGGAAGTCAGAAAGTCTTGTTCCATAGCCTGACTGCCTCTCACGCCCAAGTTTCTGCTTCAAGCACCAGCCAAGGTGCTTGCTGTTTGGCCTGCCCATACTCATCAGCTGCCTCCAAAGTCCCACAGGCTAACCATGTCCAGTAGGACTCCTTCAGCTTGATAGCTACTTTGATTCAGGGATTATCGCCACGACGAGCACCAACTACCTCGCAGCTGCCTCAGCAATGGAGGTGCAGAACATGGTTCAGTTGGAGTCCACGTCCCCAGCCTCATTCATAATGCTTCCAAAGTTGTGTCTGAGCATTCCCAGCACACCCTCACCATACGTTTAGGTGCGAACACCACTCTGCTTCAGATCAGCCAGGCCTTGCTCCCAGGTCTCATGGTCACTGCTCACGTGAGCGTTGAAGCCCCCCCCTCAAATACCCCACTCACTAAACTTAAGAAGGCTAACTGATGTTCGGCGCATAAGTGCAAACAGTCAGGATCCATTCTCTGAACTGAAGAGGCAGGGAAGCAACCTAGTGGGGAAGCTAGTCCAAATCTTTGAATGCAGCCAGCCTGTGTCACCATAAAAACAATATTTCTACAGTGTTATGACGACATCTACTGAGATAGTTTATAAGTAGTGTACGGGATCTTACTTCTTTCTGGTCTCCATGTTTTGGCAAGCAAAGCAGCTGTAGGCCGTAGAAAGCCATCTCTGGAATGCTCCTTAGTTTGGTAACGTCTCTGTGCAGAAATTACACAACTATCACAGTTTGTTCTGATACATTAAAAAAAAAGACAAAATAAGCAAGAAAACTCACTGTTCAGCAGCAAAAGCTGGTTTGCCAGTGGTGGGTTCAAAGTAAAGCAGGTTACTGAAGATCTGGACAAAGAAAAGGATTCGCTGTGAAAACCTGCAGGTTCCACAGTGTGAAACGAACCAGGTGTGCAGATACAACCAGGTGGTACCTGCATACAGTGGATCATGGTCTGAGGACTGTCTTTTAGTGGAAATGTTTGCAGAAGTCTCAGTAAGCTTTGAACCAGGAGAGCTACAGCATCTCTGATCCTCATCAGGTCCTTTCCAGAAAGATGAACTTCCTCTTCCTCCTCATCCTCCTCCTCCATTTCCATCTGATAATAACACATAGGTCTGATCATAAATGTGTTCCACCAGAGAATACGTTTACTCACCTTCACACAACTTTAGCAACAAAAAGATCAGTACCGTTTATTGGTTTGTTTTTCTCTTCAGAAAGTTTTAAGAAAATGAAATGAGGAATAATTAATGAAAATTCCTTCTCGGTGTTGTATTAGCTCCCACATTAAGTCAATCGGACAGTCTGAACAAAAGAAATTCAACACTTAGATGGACCTAGTTATGAAATGAGTGTCTCAAAGTCACTATTCAGCCATCACATTGCAATGATCCTTGGGAGTGTACCTCTGGACTGTCTTTCCTCTGTGGTCTGGAGCGTTTTCCCTCCGTCTGAGAACTCTTCAGGTCTTTTTTGCGTTTCTTTTCAGAATCCTGAGGCCAGCAGTGACGGGTCAGGTCCAAACATGTGTCCAACAAAACTTCATGAAAAACCTTGTTGGAAATGCTCCCTAGAAACAACAATAGAGAGAGCCAGACACACTCACACCGCTTACCCAAGCAAACATCTTTTATTGTCCAGTTTTCCTAAGCTCGTGTGAATTGTAGCCTCAGTTTTTTATTCTTAGTCAACAAGAGCGACACCCATCGTTATCTGCTGCTGCTTTAGCACGTCAGCTTCAAGGTTCAACAGGTTGTGTTCAGAGAACTTCCACTTCCTGGATTTTATTTTCTTTTTGTCATTTTTGAACCACTTACACTTACAGTTCAGTTTTGAATATTACATAAAAAATAAACAACACAAAGTGTTTTTGAATGGCAGGTATGCAGAAACATGTGTATGGGCAGAAATCTGTGCCATCAGACACTGAATTTGAATAAGTTCAATTTGAATTTGAATTGCTCAGATTGAATCTGAATTGTAACTTGAATAAATGCTTTTGAAAGCTGAATTTGAATTAGTCTAATTTGAAATTGAATTTATGGTTTGAAAATGAATTGATTTGCTTTGAAACTGCATTTTATCCTTTAAAAATTCAGCTCTCGAATAATTTCAGTTTCACTTCTCACCATTCAGTTTCAGTTCTACAATTCAATTTCAGTTCCAAAATTCAGTTTTTTGGAACTTACATCCGGTTCCGGTTCAAGAGCAGATTAATAGAACTACGTTTTACTAGCGGACCGAAAGTGTTACTGACGGGAATCTACAGCGTCTTGAGCTGAATTAAGACTTCAGAAGTCATTCGTCATGTCGAATGACCAGCGGATAAACTCTCAGGTTGGTAATAAATGTACTACATGTATAAGAACAAGCGTCATGTTAACAAATGATAGCCGTACAGTAACTTTTATGCTTATTGTAGCTGCTAGCTAAAAGCGCTAATTTAGCGTAGTTTGCCCTGAATTCAGATTTGACAACAAATATGATCGACTGTTTCTAGTAGAATTCCAAAGTTGTCATCTTGGACCCTCTCAGAGTACCCCCTCTGTATGCTTGCAGAGACCCCTACAGTAGGGAAACATGCAAAACGGTGTCCAAACCTTTGTGTTTTAGCTTTATTTATGTCTTACACAGCATCCCAACTCTTTAGCTAACTTAATAACTTTAGCTAAAGTGAATAGTTAGTCTAATTCATTAGTGCATTAGTGTGAGACCCTGCATCGTGACCTACGAACTTCTAACCCCTGCGAGTCAATCGTACAGTTTGAGCAGAAGCTGAATCGCGCGACTGAAAAAATCGCAGTGTCTGCCCAGCATAAGACATAAATAAAGCTAAAACACAAAGGTTTGGACACCGTTTTGCATGTTTCCCTAAGCAAGCATACAGAGGGGGTACTCTGAGAGGGTCCAAGATGACAACTCTGGAATTCTACTAGAAACAGTCGATCATATTTGTTGTCAAAGCTGAATTCAGGGCAAACTACGCTAAATTAGCGTTTTTAGCTAGCAGCTACAATAAGCATAAAAGTTACCTTACGGCTATCATTTGTTAACATGACGCTTGTTCTTATACATGTAGTACATTTATTACCAACCTGAGAGTTTATCCGCTGGTCATTCGACATGACGAATGACTTCTGAAGTCTTAATTCAGCTCAAGACGCTGTAGATTCCCGTCAGTAACACTTTCGGTCCGCTAGTAAAACGTAGTTCTATTAATCTGCTCTTGAACCGGAACCGGATGTAAGTTCCAAAAAACTGAATTTTGGAACTGAAATTGAATTGTAGAACTGAAACTGAATGGTGAGAAGTGAAACTGAAATTATCCGAGAACTGAATTTTTAAAGGATAAAATGCAGTTTCAAAGCAAATCAATTCATTTTCAAACCATAAATTCAATTTCAAATTAGACTAATTCAAATTCAGTTTTCAAAAGCATTTATTCAAGTTACAATTCAGATTCAATCTGAGCAATTCAAATTCAAATTGAACTTATTCAAATTCAGTGTCTGATGGCACAGATTTCTGCCCATACATGTGCATGTAGCACAGAGCCATGGCTCAGTGTCTAAACGAGTCTCACAGGCCTGAGTGTGTCCAGATAGCTTCCTAGAAATAAGTCACAGGATAGACAAACAGACACACACACACTCCTTGAAAATTAAGACATCTATACCAACGTTAGAATTTACAGTCAATAAGCAGTGACAATCATCTCATCAACGTTAGTTCCACCTAGCTCCAAGAACCGAGAGACTTGCAGTTACTTCCATTTCAACTTTCCTTACCTGGAGTTCTCAGAAGTAATAGGTACACTGAGGCTGCACACAGGCTGTTCACCCTCTGGTGGCCACTGGCCACTTTAGACTTTCCTGCCAGGACAAAGAAGGACAGCACAGCCACCACAGACTTGACTGATATGCCACTCTCCCCCAGAACTGCCCAGACACTCTGCAATGCAAGATAGGAGACAGTCAGCTGACTGCTACCTTCAGATGGTGAAACAGACACTACAGACTACAGGAAGACTTTAGACTGAGCAACTGCAAGCGCTTCAAAGAGCCACAAAAACTAATTTGCTTACCTGTGAAGCTCCATCACTGCCTGCAGACTGATATTGATCAGCATGTGCCAGTAAACACTGGTACAGGGCTGTGAAAGACTTCTCTCGCCTGGCTGTAAGTTCCTCTTCTATAGTTTTATCCAGTGGTTTCCTTTCAGTAAACTCCACTTCCCACACCGCGTCCACCCAGGCTAGAAAAAGAAAGAATAATATTATCTCAAACATGTAAATAGAACTGAAATAACAAGAGAAAAAAAACTTAAAAACATCAAGTTTTTGTGAAAATCTCTGTCAACACAATGTTTATGCTTGAAAAGGAGTAGATGAGTTTTTTTATTTTAAATTACATCATTTACATGTTTAACTACATACAAGTCTACACTCAGCTCATAAACCAAAACAACAACAAACTACACTTTACATAAACTAAGCACTCTGTGTAAACACCCACTAAATCTCTGAGCTTTGTAAAAATGATCTCTTATATCACAAAATCACTGACTTTCATTTACTGCTACTTTTAATACGTTTGCCTGTCAAATGTCAGACGAGCCGATGTTTTCTGTCTGCCATGAATCCACAGATATTAAGTTCATTACAACTGCTGACTATAAGATTTGACGACAATCTGAATATTCAGCTGCTTTATTTAATGGCAGATAATCTACACTAATGTCGCTTCACGGTACATCTCTCGGCTCAATGACCCAGGAAACAGCTCCGTTAACAACCAAGTTTGACAGACCGCCGGGTGTTCAGTAAACCACATTTCGATAACAGACAAAAGAGTTTTACCTTCTGGGACATCGTTTAACCGAAGAAACTGCAACGCAGATATCAGATCCATCTTATTTTGGTTTGTCTTTTTCTTTCTCGCTTAATTCGCCCGCCCAAATATAAAAACTCCGGACATGCGCACTAAAGTCTTCGTTTTATTTCTTTTCCTGGTTATCAGCCTCAGTGTTCAATACTGCCACCTGCTGGGCTGGAATAGTTAGTTATTATTTTTTAATTTGCAAGAAAAGTTAAAACTGGTCGCAAAGTTTCAAACTAGTTTATTGGAACATGAACTAGTTCATAACAGTTTTAATATGACTAATACTAAAGTCATATAGATAGTTTCAACTGATAAATAATAATGTGCAAAGAAGGTATTTATAATACACACTATATTCCCAAAAGTATTCACTTTTCTGTCTTCACATGCATATAAACTTGAGTTATATCCCATTCTTAATCCATAGGGTTTAATATGATGTCAACTAACCCTTTAACAACTCTTCAGCAAAGGCTTTCCACAAGGTTCAGAAGTGTGTTTGTGGGAATGTTTCACCATTGTTTATGGGCTCAAATTATGCTCATGAAAATTTTGTACTTGTAAATCAAATGTGTACCGTATTTTCACGACCATAAGACGCACTGTACTAAAAGGCGCAGTCTCAGTTATGTGTGCCATTACTGTATTTAACACACACATAAGGCGCACTGGATCATAGGGCGCATACAAGTACCGTATGCGTATTGAAAAATAAAGCGGGAGCAAACCTGAGTTCGGTACCTTACTCACATTTCTATTGCCGGTAATCGTCATCATCAACAACACACAAGCATACAAGTGTGCAGATGTACTCATTGTATTTTTATATCTTGTGAGGGCCAGAAAGTTTGATCAACTTTAATGTTATAAATTGTGGACAAAAAGGTGAGAAGGATTCTCCTCCCTTCATGGTTCATCCAGCTGTGGACACACCTCTCCCAGACACTGAAGGTAGAAACACTCCTGCAACAAATACACCTGTGCTTACATCATTATAGCTCCTACTACAGCTTCCTCCTTCATCCTGATGCATTTATGGAATAGAGAAATCCTTCAGCATGGACTATTGAAACTGCTTTTTAGAAAACAGGCAGGAAGAAAAGACGAGGAGTCACAAATGAGACGAGCCTCCTGACTGAACTTCATTTGTTTATTTTAAGCTGTTTGCGTGTCATCAGACAGTGAAGCAGACTGATCAACTGTGTCAAGATAGAAATAACAAACTCTCTGAATCACTGTTGATCTTCAGGTAAGAGCCGTTTCTGTACCGTGTCTGGATCTGATTGGTACTTATCAAAAAGGTGAAAGGTATTCATTCAGTTACTTATAAACAACTTTTCAGATGTCTTGCGGAGCAATGAGAGATTAGAAATAGCTCTATAATTACTGATTACAAATGGATCTAAGTTACTTTTCTTAGCTAGCAGTGTGATTACACCACAATGGAGAGAAACCGTGAAAATGCCAGCAGTTGATAATAATAACATAAATTAATATAAGTCTATGTGGCAGGGGTGTGGTCTCTGGCTTGCTGCCCTCCTTCACTATTTAAACATACAGAGAGGAAGAAGATGATCACCTCGAGCAGTCACACCTGCCCTCTCTGCCACACCTCACCACTGCCTGAGAGCTCACTGTAACACAGGCCAGAGACCACGCCCCTGCCACAGTCTATAAGCAGAAACCAAAAGTAGCAAGAAATACTCGAGTAAAATAAATGTAGATTGTTTTACATTTATTAGACCATCGATTATAAAACCAAGGAAACGATTGAAAACCTCAAATGTTAAAGTACACTTCCTGATTGTACTTTTATTACCTGAGCTTATGTGGATGCTCTAATAGCACCCTGACTGAAAAACGAAGCACACATTTGGAGAAGCTGTGCTGTAACTTCACATATTGAAAAAGTTTTCTTGCTTTTCTATGAGAAAAGAAAAACAGATAAGTCACAAACTTCTTGCCATACTGATATTATGTAAGGAATGCACACAGACGTCATGTGAAAAAGATGAGCTTAACAGCTACTTAGTCCATACAGTCCAGGACTGTAACAGGACTGAAAAAAGGTGTTATAATAAATAAAACAAATGTTAATTGAGTCATTTAATTTATTCTAAAATGAAAAATTACTTTCTGTCCAGCATTTGTGTGACTAACAGTCTCACTACCAGGCGACTGTTGTTGTAATTTGGTGATATATAGATAAAAGTGAATTGACACTTCTGCTGTACAGCTTACTAAGGGGTGCTGTGATGGGCAGTGTGCAATCACACAAAACAACAACTTAAATGTCACCATAACCCTGACTGGAGAAAAGAAAGTTTGGAAAATTCAATGACATTACATTTGTTGTACATTACTCTAAAATCAGTGCTGTGAGAGTAACTTTATGGTCACAACCTGATTTAAAACTCAATCTAACATCAACATTCTTAATGATACCTGTAGCTCTAAGACATTAAGAGAATATGGCAAATGAGATCACAGGATGGCCAAAATGTACTTTAAAATGAGATCTTGTTTCATTGGACTGCGACAGACTGGCGACCTGTCCAGGGTGTACCCCGCCTCTCGCCCTGTGACAGCTGGGATAGGCTCCAGCGCCCCCCGCGACCCTGAAAAAGGATAAGCGGAAGCGAATGGATGGATGGATGTTTCATTGGAACAGTAAAGTACCATAACAAAGAATACGTGCACCTATGTAAGAACAAGAATCACTGCTATGGAGGTTTCATGTTTTACATACAGACTCAGGGTTGCTAGTCTCCTCAGAGCCCTCTCTTTAAAAATGCTTTGTTTCCTTTTACCATCAAACATTTATTTTAGTCATCTGAAGCTGGTCGATTTCAAAAACTCTTCGCTCGTCAGAAGGCTGTAAATTGGTGTCACTGGTCAGATCAAAGCCATCCCTCTGTGTTTCAGTGGCTGAAGCGAGAGCCTGCCTCCCTGAAATTACTTTATTGATGGGTCTGGGAAGAGGTCAAAATCTCTGCCGGGGGTTACAGTCAGGGGACTATTTCCAGCAGGTGAAAGTCAGGCCGACAGGAGCTTCCGGTAACTTGGGGTCGACGGGGGCAGGGGTCAAAACCCCCGAACTGCTGTTTCATGGGGATCAGGTTAAACCCCGCCTCCTCCGCACGCTGATTCGTCAAAACTAGAGCCTGCCTTTCTGAAATTGCTGTATTGATCAGTGATTTTTCTTATTGGTAAAATCTAGGGCCACATCTATTTTATATTGGTTTATTACCGGGTCGGGCTGAGACGTGGGACTGACTTTGATTCTGATTTTCCTTGTTTGGATTAAACAAACACACTGGGACATGCAGCCTCCAACTCTCCCCATCCTCACCAGTTTAACTAAGAACTTTACTGTGGTTTAACACATTTACACACACAGACACACACAGACACACAAAGTCATTTAAAAAGTTGGCATTTTTGATCAAGAAACTAAAGTTTTTGGCTTAAAAAATGACAAAAAAAAAACAAAAACCCAAACTATCTCAAACATCCTATCCATCGCCCTATTTTCATGATCATATTTTTTGGATTATTGATGAACAAATTATGAAGTATCACATTTGTATGAATTTTTATGACTGCCATTAAGTTTTATTACTTCCAAAGTCATGAATCATTTGTCAGAGGAGCCATAAACCAGTAGTTTGACATAAGGGGTGTTATATCCCTCCTGTGAAGTCTTTGATTTTTTATTTGTTGCTGCAGCCAGTGGAACATTAATGATGAATAATGATGAGCTTGATGAGTTTGAACTGATTATATCTAAATGAATCTGTAAAATTAAACTGTTCACTTCAGATTGGATTAAGGACACAGCTCAGCTAACAACAACTTCCATTAACACAGTGTGAGTGTTTCTTTGATCTGCAGTCAAACCAGTTTAAAGTGTCACTACAATAGAAACTACAATAGAAACATCATTTAATGCTGTGCTCAGTAACAGGACAGAAAGCCTCCAACAAACATTTCCTATGTTTCTAAAGTCCAGACTTCTGCTTTTGTTTGGATGCAAACATCCAAACTTCCTCATAAACAACTCTCTGTTTGGTTCCTTATTAAAGTTTCACGTTACTTTCCTGATCTCAGTGTCAGATGATCATATTCAGCACAAATCTGCTGCTCCATAGTTCACATAATGGAATAACTCTGCTGATCATCTTTGGATCCTGGATCAGGAAGTAAAGCCGGTGAATATTTAGTGTTTAAATATCGTTTCTGTCTTTGTCTCAGTCTGCTGTCACTTTGTTTTAGAGAGAAAACGAGATTTCCGATTAACTGGTGTTCCTGCTGCTCCAGCACTAAAGGACTGTATAGGTGACCGTGCTGATGCCTGTTCATAATTTGTCCAAAGTTAATAAACTGTTGGCTAAATGTTCTCAAATCAGAAGTAAACAGAGGTGAGAGGAGCAGATAATAAGGTTTAAATATAATGCTGAATAACTAAATGCTGCTAGTCTGTGATGTAACTCCCAGCAGCATCACGTCATTTCTTTACTCTGACCTTTGACATTAGCTTAACTAGCAGAGCAGCGAGCAGTTAGAGTGTGAACTATAAGCAGTCAGCTTGGTCCTAGTAGTTAACTGGATTTTATGTTAATTGGTCTAGATTTGTTTACATATCCCAGTGTCCATGTTCCACATGTCACAGTTTCATTAATTTCATCGTCTCAAACAGAGAAACAAAGAACATGTTTATTTGTGAGATTGCTGTCGTGGAGTTTATTGAGTTAAAGAGATAAACTTACACAACACTGACAAACTGTGTGTGTTCTCCATAACACCTGGCACTGATTTTAGTCTCAGATGGAGTGTTAGTCCAACACATCAGACACGACCTCTGCAGCTCTCAGTTGATGTGCACGTGAATGATTTGTGTTTCCTCTGCAGGTAGAAAGTGTGTGAGCTGATGTGAATTGAGCAGCATGGATCAGTGTGAGGACAGAGAGGAGGGAGCCCCTCCCTCTAAAAGCACTCTGTGTGGGGAACATGAGAGCCAGACCAAAGCTCAGAGGTGAGATGACCATCTCTAACTGTCCATGA